TTTAAAAAGATATATTAAGTTCCTCACACAACCTTGATGGCAGAAAGTGAGGAGGAATTAAAGAACCTTTTAATGAGGGTGAAAGAGGAGAGCGCAAAATATGGTCTGAAGCGCAACATCAAAAAAACGAAGATCATGGACACTGGTCCCATCACCTCCTGGCAAATAGAAGGGGAAGAAATGGAGGCAGTGAGAGATTTTACTTTCTTGGGCTCCATGATCACTGCAGATGGTGACAGCAGTCACGAAATTAAAAGACACCTGCTTCTTGGGAGAAAAGCAATGGCAAAGCTAGACAGCATCTTAAAAAGCAGAGACATCACCTTGCCAACAAAGGTCCGTATAGTTAAAGCCGTGGTTTTCCCAGTCGTGATGTATGGAAGTGAGAGCTGGACCATAAAGAAGGCTGATCGCCGAAGAATTGGTGCTTTTGAATTCTGGTGCTGGAGGAGACTCTTGAGAGTCCCATGGACTGCAAGAAGATCTAACCTCTCCATTCTGAAGGAAATCAGCCCTGAGTGCTCACTGGAAGGACAGATCCTGAAGCTGAGGCTCCAATACTTTGGCCACCTCATGAGAAGAGAAGACTCCCTAGAAAAGACCCTGATGTTGGGAAAGATGGAGGGCACAAGGAGAAGGGACGACAGAGGACGAGATGGTGGGACGATGTTCTCGAAGCTACAAACATGAGCCTGACCAAACTGCGGGAGGCAGTGGAAGACAGGAGGGCCTGGCGTGCTCTGGTCCAGGGGGTCACAAAGAGTCAGACACGACTAAACAACAACAAATCCTGTTGCTCACAGCCTTAACCCAGCCCTTGTGACCCAGATTAGAGGAGGAAGTTACACTCCTTTATTCCAGCTGCTTGTTTTCCATTTTGGAGGAGTTGCTGCTCTCCTCCATAATTGCCTGAGCTGACTCACAGTGCCTGCCTGCCCTGCAAGCCCTTCCCACCCCCACTCTCATTGGGACTATGGCCAAGCCTTTGTCTGAACCATGTGGAGGTCGCCAGGTTGGCAAAGCCTGCTTTAAGGGCATTCAACCCGGGGGGGGGGGGGGTTCTGTTCAGAATTTCAAGGAGCTCCCTTGGTCTACTTCACATTCTTCTCCTCCTGCTGCTTCTCCTTAACTCCTGCATCGCTTTGCTTCTGGCAGAAGCCCAAACCTCACCTGTGTTTTTTGCTGCCTTCATGCTGCCGTCCTCTGCCAGGACAGGGGGGGCGGGAGGGGGCGGGGAATGAGAAAGCTGGAAGTTTTGCGACAGATAAAATGAAGTATTTATATGCGCAGCACATAGTTGAGGGGTTTTTTTGTTAGTTTTATTTTTGTCTGTGTTTCGATGGGTATTACATTAATTTCATTTTCATAATATGTTCTTATTTTTTTATGAAATATTTTCTTGATTTACAAAAGTTTGTGCAGTGTCTCTCGTATATCCCCCCCCCCCCGTGTAACATTTTTACAAATTAGTTTCGTTTGTTGAGACATTGGGAAGAAAAGGGGGAAAGAGGTGGAGGGGGGGAAGATGGGTGGGGGTGGGGTCGGGTGGCGATGTTTCTATTTTACTTACTATATGTGGGGTTTGGTGTCAGCGTTGCTTGTGCAGGTTCTCTGCTGTTCGCTTGTGTTCCTTTGGTGGTGAGAGAGGTTGGGGTTGGCCTAGGGCAGGGGTCTGCAACCCGCGGCTCCGGAGCCGCATGTGGCTCTTTTACACTTTTGCCGCGGCTCCGGGGCGGATACTAGCGAGGGGAGGAGGCGCATTGTGCGCCCCCACACTCCCCACTGTGGCGGGCGCTGTACTGGCTGTGACGTCGCATGGGGGTGGTGCGTGCGTTAGTCACGCATCGTCCCAACGTCACCTTCCCGCCCGCCCGCTACATTGTAAGGGGCATGTACGCTGGTCACTGCATTGAAAGGGGGCATGTACGCTGGTCACTGTTTTGAAGGGGAGTGAAGAACACACACACACACAAAAAGGTAACTTGTTAATTTAACGTTTATTTCTATGAGGAGGAGTAATTCTGAGGGGTCAAACAAATAAATAATAAAAAAGTGACAAAAACGTTATTTTTATAATGACGAGTTTTGCGGCTCCCAGTTGTTTTTTCTTCGGAAACGGGTCCAAGTGGCTCTTTTTGTCTTAAAGGTTGCAGACCCCTGCTAGGGTGTGGTTTTTTTGTGATTGGCTGTGGTGGTCCTTGTTTTCATGTGTGAGTGGGGTGGGTGGGTGTTTTGGATCAGGTTAGCCATATTGATTTGTAGAGAAGTAGAGAAGATGGGCAGAGATGCAGAGGCTTGTGGGATGTTAGCAGAAATCATTGTCAATGACTCAAGCCCAGTCAAGCAATGCTTTCATCGTGGACACAATGGCGTGTTCCATTTTTCATAATTCCTCATAGCAATCCCACCTGACCGGAGGGTGCCTCCTTGGTTCTGGCCCTCCCCAATTCCCCCCACAGTCAAAATCCAGCACAGCTGCTGAGTCCCTTGCAGAGGATGCTGGGGCTCTGGGCTGCCCAGGTGTGATCCTGCGCTTGAGGCCGCATGAGGCAACTTGGCCAGATGTCGGTTTGCCTTTGGCTACCAGGGAGATCCGGCCACAACTACAGCTCTTCCGTGACGCTGTAGCGGCCTTCACTCTCCTCCTTGTCTCCTTCCCAGGCCTCCTGAGGTTTTTCCTGCTCGTTCCGCCTCGGCCATGAAGCCCCATGTCACCTATCACCAGGTAAATCCTTGCTTGCCTAAATCGGGTGTGTCCAAAGGGATGGATCTCACTAAACAGTTGCACCAGCAGGAGTCAGTGCAAACAGTTCTTCTGCTCCCCCAGAACAGTGCACAGGGGGCAGGAGGGAACCTCGTTCTGTTTGATACCCTCAAGAGCTGGGATAACTCAGTTGGGAGAACGTGAGTCTCTTAATCTCAAGAGTCGTGGCTTCCAGCCCCACAATGGGCAAGAGATTCCTGCGTTTGAAGCGGGCTGGACTAGATGATCCCAGGGTCCCTTCCAATGCTATGATTCTAAGTGCTTGCATTGACAATCATAAAAGTGTGACATTGAACTCCTCCCAAAGGCTGGACCGTGCGGCAAGTGTGTCCCCACTCCCCAGCCTAATGAATGAATGAATTTTATTATTTCTGTCACAGACCAGTTCCAGCCCACATATCAAGGGAAGTCATAAAACACGCTAGGGATACATTTGAATTTGCAATTAGGTATAACAGGGACAATACAGATATAGCAACAGTTAAAAACTACATAAATTAAAACTTAGTCATTAATGTATAACCTAAAATTATCATTTAAAACCTTAATGAAATGATTTTAGAATGTTTTATCATTTTACTGTTGTTAGCCGCTCTGAGCCCGGCTTCGGCAGGGGAAGGCGGGATATAAATAAATTATTATTATTATTATTAATCATTATGATACCACAGCTTGTTCCCTAAGTTTTATGGCAATCACACAGAATTTGGCTACCCTTAATGTGATCTCGTGGGACACGGGTGGCGCTGTGGGTTAAACCACAGAGCCTAGGACTTGCTGATCAGAAGGTCGGTGGTTCGAATCCCCGCGACGGGGTGAGCTCCCGTTGCTCGGTCCCTGCTCCTGCCAACCTAGCAGTTCGAAAGCACGTCAAAGTGCAAGTAGATAAATAGGTACCACTCTGGTGGGAAGGTAAACGGTGTTTCCATGCGCTGCTCTGGTTCGCCAGAAGCGGCTTGGTCATGCTGGCCACATTACCCGGAAGCTGTACGCTGGCTCCCTTGGCCAATAAAGCAAGATGAGCGCCGCAACCCCAGAGTCGGCCAAGACTGGACCTAATGGTCAGGGGTCCCTTTACCTTTACTAACGTGATTTCAGGATCCTTGTCCTCTACCAGGGATTTTAGACACTGAAGTTCGGATTCATTTGGAGATTTTTGCATAGCAGGGGTAATAAATACCGAGCGTCTATCCCCATAGAAACGGCAGCGTAACAAGGCATGAGAGACAGCAGCCTAATGATTTGTTTGTTTATTTTGTAAAATTTATGCACTGCTTTTTTGCAAAAGGGAAAAGCCCTCAGAATTTGCAAAAAAAGTTAAAACCATAACATTATCCGTAAGGGAAATTAACAGCAGTCAGTTAAGGCTTTCAAAAAGGTAAAAGGGCCAAGTAGGGTAAAAACGGACTAGAACTCGCATCTCAGGGTTGTGTGTTCACGCCCCACGTTGGGCAAGAGATTCGGGGTCCCTTCTAACTCTACAATTCCATGATCACCATTCTAAGTGTGATCCACGCAACGGTCACCTCCAGACTGGATTATTGTGACTCGATCTACGTGGGGCTGTCCTTGAGACTTACCCAGAAACTACAGTGGGTGCAGAATGCCACAGCGAGACTCCTTACGGGGTCCTCGCTGCGAGATCACATTCACTTGGTGCTACACCAGCTGCACTGGCTCCCGGTGGAGTACAGGATCAGGTTCAAGGTGCTGGTTTTAACCTTTAAAGCCCTATGTGGCCTAGGACCCTCGTGCCTACGGGACTGCCTCTCCTCGTATGCCCCGCGGAGGACCTTACGGTCTTCAAATAAAACATCTTGGCGATCCCGAGTCACAGGGAGGTTAGGCTGTCCTCGGCCAGAGGCAGGGCTTTTTCAGCTGTGGCTCCGATCTGGTGGAACGCTCTGCCACAAGAGACTAGGGCCCTGCGGGACTTGACATCTTTCTGCAGGGCCTGCAAGACAGAGCTGTTCCACCAGGCCTTTGGCCAGGGCACAGCCTGACTCCCTCCTTTGGCAATCTTCACAGAACTCTAGCCCAATGGTTGCCATCAATTTGATTTGAATTAATTTTATAATGAAATGAGTTTAGAATGTTGTATTCTTTTATTGTTGTTAGCCGCCCTGAGCCCGGCTTCGGCTGGGGAGGGCGGGATATAAAATTTATTATTATTATTATTATTATTATTATTATTATTATTATTTGCATCTGGACAGGCTTGTCTAAAGGAAGATGCTTTTAGCAGCTGCCGAAAAGAGCACAGAGAAGGCGCCTTCCTGGTGTCAAGAGGCAGGGAGTTCCAAAGGTTGCAGTCTGCCACACTAAAAGGTCAAAGTTCTTACAAAGGCAGGACAGGGATCGTGTTGCATCTGTGACAGGGACAGTTCTGCCAGTCTCTCCCCCCTTTCCTCTCGCATCAGATCCACTGTGATGAATGGGAGCCGGGGGAGCTATTTGCGCAAGCCCCGTTCCCCTTGCGGAGGCAGACTTCCCCCTCGTAAATGTGTGGGGAATGGGGAAGCCAGCTGGGCTTCCTGCCTCCAGCTCCGACGTGGGGCTGGATGTCCCCAAAGGGGTCGCAGGTGAGTGCAGTTCACTCTCCCGTCTGCACACACTGCGGATCCTGAAATCCTGCTGCCTGGAGTTCCCAGGGTGTTTCATCTCTCTGTTTCCTTCCTGTCAGCTGAAGGTGCTGCGCAGTCCTGAGGAGCCCCCACTGACCCAGCAGCCCAGCTTGGCTCCAAAGAAGGTTAGTCTCCTCTTCCTCTTCCTCCTCCCCTTCCAGGTTCTGTTGAAGACCCTGAGCTGGGATAAAGTCCCATCTCTCCCCCCCCCCTCCCACAAAACACACCTCTCAAGCCATGGAAAAAGAGGCACAGTCCTATAAATGGATCAATAACTGGTTAAGGAACAGTTTGTGCCATGGAAGAATGCAGAAACTGGAGTTCCCCAAAAATTAACATTGTGACCTGTGCAGTGGGGACTCCCTCTTCACTCCAGACCTGGGTCTGGGTGCATTGTTATTGTGTTATTGTTATTGTTATTATTAAATTTACCTTGCCCATCTGGGCAGCTCCCAACAAAATATTGATGATGATGATGATAATACAGTGGTGCCTCGCAAGACAAAATTAATCCGTTCCACGAGTCCCTTCGTCTTGCGGTTTTTTCGTCTTGCGAAGCACGGCTATTAGCAGCTTAGCGGCTATTAACGGCTTAGCGGCTATTAACGGCTTAGCGGCTTTAAGAAAAAGGAAACAAACTCGCAAGGCGTTTCGTCTTGCGAAGCAAGCCCATAGGGAAATTCATCTTGCGGAACAACTCAAAAAACGGAAAACCCTTTCGTCTAGCGAGTTTTTCGTCTTGCGAGGCATTCGTCTTGCGGGGCACCACTGTAATAATAATAATAATAATAATAATAATAAGAAGAAGAAGAAGAAGTGAGAAAACATCAAACATTAAAAACCTCCCTAAACAGGAATTATTATTATATTTAGTAGTAGTAGTAGTAGTATACTGCCCTATATCCACAGATCTCAGGGCGGTTCACAAGATAAAATCGCAATATGAAAACAAAAAAACACACTATCAAAATAAAAACAAGAACAACCCAATAATCTCCGGCTTCCACAACATATTTCAAAAGGGTGCTGGATGTCAGTCAGCCAAAGAGGAATGTTTTGAATTAACATACACAAATTTATTGGTTGATAACATGGTAGACAGATAATGTAAAGATATGTATAATTTTATAACATGCAGAGAATAACATGTGCTGAGAAATCAGAGAGGAACTGAGGGAAGTTGGGGGGAGGGGGTTTGAGGGGGTGTTGGGGGAATATGATAGGATTTGATATTTTGTTTTGCTGAAATTGTTAACGAAAACCTTAAAAAAGAGAAGTGCAGGACGCCCACTTCCGTCCCTCTTTCTCCTTCGCAGGACTTCCGCTGCATCCTTGTGGTGGCCATCCTCTCGACGATGCTGGCGACTGTCCTCCTTTTCCACATGTTCATCCTCCCCTTTCATGGTCTGACCTCGGCAGGGAAGGAGGCGGCTGCCGGGCCTTACCTGGGCAACAGGTGCAACGATCCCTGCAGGTGAGGGCTCTGCCTGCGGCGAGGTTGTTCTGGGCCTCTTCTTGGCACAGCTATTGCCTTTGGAGGGGGTTAAGGTAAAGGTAAAGGGACCCCTGACCATTAAGTCCAGTTGTGGCCGACTCTGGGGTTGCGGTGCTCATCTCACTTTATTGGCTGAGGGAGCCTGCGTACAGCTTCCGGGTCATGTGGCCATCATGACTAAGCCGCTTCTGGCGAACCAGAGCAGCGCACGGAAATGCCGTTTACCTTCCTGCCGGAGTGGTACCTATTTATCTACTTGCACTTTGACGTGCTTTTGAACTGCTAGGTGGGCAGGAGCTGGGACAGAGCAATGGGAGCTCACCCCGTCACGGGGATTCGAACCGCCGACCTTCTGACCGGCAAGTCCTAGGCTCAGTGGTTTAGACCACAGCGCCACCCGTGTCCCTGGAGGGGGTTATAATGAATTAATTCAATTTGTATAATGTCCTATGCCCATCAATCTCAGGGCAGTTCACAACATAAAAAGACAATATGAGAAACAGAAAAGACATCATCAAAATTTAAACAAAGCCTGAGCTGCTTCTCTGCTGAGACTATGACTTATGGAGTAAATGCTGTTCTTTTTTCTTTTCTTTTTTTCATAATATGTTTATTAAATTTTCAACAAAAATAACAAAAACAAAAAACACACAATAGCAAATTCAATAATATCCACAGACAAAGAAAAATATACATAAAAGCAATATCAAATCCATAAAATGGGATTCTCCGAATCCCATGACTTCCCTCCCCCACCCCTGGTTCCTTAAATTTTCTTTTCAGCTGCCTATCATTTCTACTCCAAATTATTATTTCTTACCTCAGATTCCTAAAATTACAAGTGTTTTTAAGATCCTGCCAATGTATTAGCCTGTTTACAATACTTTTGCAAATACATAATAAACTTTCCCCATTCTTTTTTAAATTTCTTGTCATCTTGATTTCTGAGCTTTCTGGTTAGCTTCGCCATGTCATCATAGTCCATTAACTTGGTTTGCCAGTCTTCTTTGGTCAGGACTGCTTCCAGTTTCCAGAGTAACCGCTGTTCAACTCTCTGAGATTTATAGCTGAGGGACAGGGCAGTGCATGGGGGCCATGTGGAAATCTCTGGAGGCTGGGATGGCGATAAGCACAATTCATTTTCACCTTGGCAACCTTGCAAAAAGAAAAAGGTGCCTAGACTAGGGTTACCAGACATCCCCGGTTCCCGGGGACAGTCCCCGGATTTGCAAATCTGGCCCCGGACAAATTCCGTCCCCGGAATGTCCCCAGATTTGCAAATCTGTCCCCGGGAAACGTGGCAGCGGCAGCCTCAGTGGCCTAGAGCCAGCCTGGTAGCACAGTTGGCTCTGGCTGGCTTCAGGAGCTGCTCGCTGCCCTGGCGCCCACCATTTTTCCTCGCCAGAAGTCCCGATATGATGTGTTGCACACAAGATACATCATATGGGGACTTCCAGTGAGGAAAAATGGTGGGCGCCACAGCAGTGAGCAGCTCCTGAAGCCAGCCGGAGCCAACTGCGCTACCAGGCTGGCTCTGGACTGCTGACTGCTGCTGCCGCCGCCACTGCTGAAGGGGAACTGGGGACGTCCAGCGGTATAGATATCCTGCGCCCTTCCCCCTTTGCTTTGACTGATCGGGGGAGGCTCGGGAGTTGCGGGCGAGCGGCCGTTGCCCAGTTTTTTAAAAACTCTGCGCATTTAGTGTTAAGTTGTGGGTGAACATATCAGACGACACAGCGATTCTTCAAACAGCTCGTTTATTCACAGGCCCAGAACAGAACTGAGCTGAAGGGTTTAGCCAGCCTGCTTATATAGAGCTCCACTACAACGCAACAGTAACCACTTTCTGTAACTATCCAATCCCTGAACGTCACTTTCAATCCCTTATTTGCATATGTGGACCTGAGTGAAAACTATCTACAGTATCCCCTTGCTGGCCCAGGGTGAGAACTTCAGTACATAACATTTATATTTCACAGGGTGCAAAAGAAGGGCCTTGCACCTTGCCTGGCAGAGAAACCGCCCGCCTTGCGCCCCTCCTGGGCAACAGCCGGCTGCCCGCCTGCGACTCCCGAGCCTCCCCCAATCTGTCAAAACAAAGGGGGGAAGGGGGCAGGAGATCGGGGAAGGCGCGGGAGTCACAGGCGCACGGCGCGCCGTTGCCCAGTTTTTAAAAAACTCTGCGCATTTATGTTTCACAGGGCGCGAAAGAAGGGCTTTGCACCTTTATACAATGTGCATGTGTGCTTGGGCCCAGGGTCTTTGGCCACACCATCCCCACTACTGACTCCCTGTTGCTACACAGCTTCAGCAACAACAACAAAACAGTGTGCCCGGATTCATTGAAAAAAATATGGTAACCATAGCCTAGACATTGCATTGTGGCAACTGTAATCTAGGTTTTAAGGTGCCGTTTGGCGAATAGCTTACGTACCTGAGTTTCTAACCCTGCCTGCAATAATAAAATAAAATAATAAATAATAAATAATAAAACATCAGTAATAAAACATCGAGAAAGTTCAGAATGACACACAGGGTTGTGAATCATAGCTGTCAACTTTTCCCTTTTCTTGCGAGGAATCCTATTCGGAATAAGGGAATTTCCCTTAAAAAAGGGGAAACGTTGACAGCTATGTTGTGAAGACTTGCAAGAGGAGAGGATGTCTTGCCCCCTCCCTTGCAAAAGCTGCCCTTCCTCTCCTCCTCTTCTTCCTCAGGAGCGTCCTGGTGGAGAGCATCCCCGAGGGGCTGACGTACGACGACAACAGCACCCTCAACCCTTCCATCTTCGACGCCTGGAAGACCCTCCTGGCAGACGCCACCCGCAGTGTGGACATCGCCTCTTTTTACTGGACCCTGAGCAACAAGGACACCGGCACCCAGGACCCCTCGGCCGGCCAGGTGGACAGCTCTCTCCGGAAACGGCCTCGGTCAAAGGCCATCGCGGCTCAGGGGTGGGGGGCACCAGAGGGTCCTGGGTTCGGTCCCCCGGGGGCATCTCCAGGTGGGGCTGGGAGGGGCAGCCTATCTGACACCCTAGAGAGGCGCTGCTGCTGCTGCCAGTTGGTGCAGACAGTATTGAGCAGGTGGAGCGCTCTGTGCCAGCTGCTTCCTTTGCTGCAGAATGCCTTTCCCAAGGGTTGCTGTGCCAGCAAGCCTTCCCAGGGGTTGCATATGGGAATATGGAGTCTTTTCAACACTGGCCTGGTGGAACGCTCTGTCTCATGAGACCAGGGCCCTGCGGGATCCGATTTCTTTCCGCAGGGCCTGTAAGACAGAGTGGTTCCGCCTAGCCTTTGGCTTGGAACCAGCATGAACCCCTCTTTCCTTTCTCCTTCTGTGTTGGAACTCCTATTTGGAGACTTCCCTGGCTTTTTTCTGGCCCATGTAGGACCAATTTGGATAGTTGGCCTTGGTGAAGATTTGACGTTTTCTCCCCGCAAACAGGTTCCCACCAAAATGAGGCTGCATTTGAAGTAGTATTTTAATCTTGTTTTTAAGTTGTATTTTAGGGACACAGGTGGCACTGTGGTCTAAACCACAGAGCCTAGGACTTGCCGATCAGAAAGTCGGCGGTTCGAATCCCGCGACGGGGTGAGCTCCCGTTGCTCAGTCCCTGCTCCTGCCAACCTAGCAGTTCGAAAGCACGTCAAGTGCAAGTAGATAAATAGGTACCGCTCCGGCAGGAAGGTAAACGGCATTTCCGTGCGCTGCTCTGGTTCACCAGAAGCGGCTTAGTCATGCTGGCCACGTGACCCGGAAGCTGGACGCCGGCTCCCTCGGCCAATAAAGCGAGATGAGTGCCGCAACCCCAGAGTCGTTTGCTACGGTCAGGGGTCCCTTTACCTTTACTAAGTTGTATTTTAATCAATTTTTTGATACCTGATGTTAGCTGCCCTGAGCCCGGTCTTTGTCAGGGAGGGCGGGGTATAAATAAATACCCACCACATTCCCTATTTCAACATGAAAAGTACTGTATTTTTCGCTCTATAGGACGCACTTTCCCCCCTCCAAAATTGAAGGGGAAATGTGTGTGTGTCCTATGGAGCGAATGCAGGCTCCTTGGCTTCAGCGATAGCAACGGGAAGCCTCCGAAGCGCAGAGGGAGCTCTCCCTCTGCGCTCTGGAGGCTTCAGGCAGCTATCCGCAAGCCTTCGGAGTGCAGCAGGAGTTCCCCCCACACTCCGAAGGCTTGCGGATAGCAGCCTGCAGCCTGAAGCCCGGGGAGCGCAGCACCAACTCCCGCTGCGCTCCCCGGGCTTCAGGCAGCTATCCGCAAGCCTTCGGAGCATGCCCCCAGCCCCACAAGCTCCGGGAGTGGCGGCAAGGCTGCACGCAACCTTGCCGCCGCTCCCGGACCTGCTCTGGGGGCTGGGGTCGGGGGAAATTCGGGCTTCCTCCGCCCCAGCCCTGCGGCTAAAAACGAAGCCAAGACAGCGAGCGGGATCCATCCCACTCGCTGTCTTGGCTTCTGCCAAAGCCGTGCGCAGCTTCTCCTGGCTGGAGAGGTTGCGCGCGGCTAAAGAGGAAGCCAAGACAACCAGCGGGATGGTTCCTGCTCACTGTCTTGGCTGCTTTGCTCTTTGGGGCTGGGGGGGGTGATAATTTTTTTTCTTTATTCCCCCCCCTAAAAATTAGGTGCACCCTATAGTCCAGTGCGCCCTATTGAGCGAAAAATATGGTACCCCTTGGTTGATCAATCCAGCCAGCCCCCCAGCTGCTGCAGCTGTTTTCTTGGTGGTGAAGCTAAACCATTCATTCTCATGTGTAAAACAAAGCAGAAATGGGATCCGTAGTATTTTATGTACCTATTGCATTTCTAGCCCACCTTTTTTCTCCAAGGAGCTGTCATGGTCCTCCTCTTCCTCATTTAATCTTCCCAGCGACCCTGCGAGGTAGGCCAGGCTGAGGGTCAGCAACCGGCCCAAGGTCGCCCAGTAAGATTCATGGCTGTGGAGGGCAGGATTTGAACCCTGGTCTCGCAGGTCCTGCTCCGACACTCTGATCCTCACAACAGCCCTGTGACGTAGGCCAGGCTGAGAGGCAGGGAATGGCCCCCAAGGTCACCCAGGGAGTAGGGGATTTGGACCCTGGTCTCTGCCAGGGCCTAGTCTGGCGCTCTAACCACTACACCACACTGCCTGCCGGTGTGTCTGAAAAGGTGGCTGCCTGCCTGTGCCAAAATATGCAGCAGCGAAGGCGCTCAGCACCCGGCAGACCCTGTCAAACTCGCTTGCAAACAGGCGTCTAATTGCCTGGGGTGGCGGCGCCTCCTTCCGCCTCTGTGCCCATCAAAGGGCCCTTTGAGGAAAGCAAAACATCCGTTTTTCGCATGTCGGTCACGGCCTGCGCCTGCGGGCGTATTGGAGAGGCAGCCGCTTTTGTTAAAACTCCAGAGCAGAATTCACGCCTGTCCTGGGCTGTGTGAGAAGCTCTAAATCCCAGAGCCTCCCAAGTTGCAGATGATCTGAAAAAGGCAGCTCCAAAGAGAAACGCAGCGTTGCAAATTATTTCATTGGGGGACAGCGGCAGTTCAGTGGTTAGAGCAACCTGCTTCGTGGGGCAGCCGGTGTAGTGTCGTGTTTAGAGGGCTGGACTTGGACCGGAGAGAGACTAGGGTTCGAATTCTCGCCCCTTGCCTGTGCAGCTCGCTGGATGTGACCTTGGGGGCCAGTCACTCCTCCCAGCCTACCTTACAGGGTCGTCGTGGGGCTTCAATAAGAGGAGGGGAGCCATGGATGTCGCCTGGAGCTTCTAGGAGAAGAAGGTGGAATAGAAAAGTAATAAACGTGGTGGATGGCAGGTTCAGCCCCCTGGGGGCGACTGGGAAAGGCTCCCCAACCCTAAACCCTGGGGAGCTGCTGCCAGCCAGTGTGGAGCTATATGGGCCCAGCAACATGTCCCATAGGCAGTGTATTTTCCTTTGATGAGCATCGAACCCAAAGCCTCCCTGTGGGGTCTGGCTTGTTAGAGATTCGGCTGGTGGCTGCCTGGCTCTCTCGTCAGCAGGTGAACAAAATGGGTAGTCCCCCCCCCATGCACTAGCCAACCTGAGATCTAAGATGCCCATTTCTGGCTTGCAGCCTCAAAACAGTTGCAAACTAAGAGGATTTAGCCTCTGGCTGGATGAGGGGCATGTTTCTGAAGAGCTCAGCTTCCAGTTTTCCCCATTTGGGTGGGTAATGTGCAAATTCAAGATGTTCCTCCCCCCCCCCCCCAATTTTTTCCAAGATGTCTCTATCATAGAATCATAGAGTTGGAAGAGACCACAAGGGCCATCGAGTCCAACCCCCTGCCAAGCAGGAAACACCATCAGAGCACTCCTGACATATGGTTGTCAAGCCTCTGCTTAAAGACCTCCAAAGAAGGAGACTCCACCACACTCCTTGGCAGCAAATTCCACTGTCGAACAGCTCTTACTGTCAGGAAGTTCTTCCTAATGTTTAGGTGGAATCTTCTTTCTTGTAGTTTGGATCCATTGCTCCGTGTCCGCTTCTCTGGAGCAGCAGAAAACAACCTTTCTCCCTCCTCTATATGACATCCTTTTATATATCTGAACATGGCTATCATATCACCCCTTAACCTCCTCTTCTCCAGGCTAAACATGCCCAGCTCCCTTAGCCGTTCCTCATAAGGCATCGTTTCCAGGCCTTTGACCAGGCCTTTGACCATCGTTTCCAGGCCTTTGACCATCCCACCTCAACACAGAATCATAGAGTTGCAAGGGACCTCCAGTGGTCATCTGGCCCAACCCCCAGTTGAAGGACTCATCCCAGACCATTTGAAAGGGTTTAATCGGTGGGACGGATCCTGCACCTGGGAATGGGACGGCCTGTCCAGGAAGGGCCCTGTTCACCTGGCCCGGATCGTGGCCACTGATGGACCCCTCCCTTTTCCCACAGGGGGAGGAAATCCTGGCAGCGCTGAGGGAGGTGCCCAGCAGAGGCGTCACCTTGCGGATAGCCGTCAATCCTCCTTCCTCCCGGATGCCTTGCTCTGACCTGCAGCTGCTGGAGGAGAGCGGTGAGAGAGAGAGAGAGCGCGCCTGGATTTCAGCACGGGGGGGGGGCAAGGCGGGGCGGGGTGGTCCTCCTCTCTGCACCCCCCCCAAACAGACAGCCATAATAATAATAATAATAATAATAATAATATATTCTTTGCACCCTGCCCATCTGGCTAGGTTTCCCCAGCCACTCTGGGCGGCTTCCAACAAAATATTAAAAACACAATAAAACATCAGACATTAAAAACTTCCCTAAACAGGGCTGCCTTCAGATGTCTTCTAAAAGTCAGATACAGTGGACGCTCGGGTTGCGAACGTGATCCGTGCGGGAGGCATGTTCGCAACCTGCAGCGCCGTATCTGCGCTCGCACGGGTTGCGATTCGGCGCTTCTGCGCATGCGAAAAGCGCGATTTAGTGTTTCTGCACATGCGCGAGTGCCGAAACCCGGAAGTAACCCGTTCCGGTACTTCTGGGTTCGGCACTGTGCGCAACCCAAAAACACGCAACCTGAAGTGTCTGTGACTCGAGGTATGACTGTAGTTATTTATTTCCTTGGCATCTGATTTTAATGATGGTTTTAATGCAACTACAAAGCGGGCGGGGAGAATTCAGAAAGGAGGGACAGGAATTCAATAAGAAAAGGTGTAACAAAAGAAAACAAAAGATATATGTTTGGAGTTAGGTAATAATTGGGAGGGACGCAGGTGGCGCTGTGGGTAAAACCTCAGCGCCTAGGACTTGCCAATCGCATGGTGGCAGTTTGAATCCCCACGCCAGGGTGAGCTCCCGTCTTTCGGTCCCAGCGCCTGCCAACCTAGCAGTTCGAAAGCACCCCCGGGTGCAAGTAGATAAATAGGGACCGCTTACCAGCGGGAAGGTAAACGGCGTTCCGTGTGCTGCGCTGGTTCGCCAGATGCAGCTTGTCACGCTGGCCACGTGACCCGGAAGTGTCTGCGGACAGCGCTGGCCCCCGGCCTCTAGAGTGAGATGGGCGCACAACCCTAGAGTCTGGCAAGACTGGCCCGAACGGGCAGGGGTACCTTTACCTTTACCTTAATAATTGGGAAGATTTAATAAAACCCAGAAGCAAAAGGCTTTGAATTCAGGGGCTGCTTAGCTTAGAAGATGACAGAGATGGGTAAAATTATGTAAGAGACTTTCCCCCCTCGCTTGTAATGCTAGAAAAAGGACCCCCCCCCAAGAAGGGGCTTTCTCTTGCAAGAGATTCAGGCCAGACCTACTGAAAGGGCTCAATTACTATTGGTCGCTTGCAGGGTCAGAGAGGTCCTCGCCCTGAGGAGCTTACACTCTTAAAACCAAGTGTATGGGCTGGATTTGCGGGCGAGGCTGTAAAAGGTGCTGAGAACTAGCAGCTCCCTTCCTTGTCTTGTTCCTAAACTCCTCCAGGCGCCCAGATCCGCAAAGTCAACTTCCCGGAACTGACCGGTGGGGTCCTGCACACCAAATTCTGGATCGTGGACCAGCAGCACATCTTCCTTGGCAGCGCAAACATGGACTGGCGCGCCCTCACCCAGGTGATGCCTGCGACCCTCCGGGAGGGCCTTTGTGGGGCGGGGGGCCCCCGTTCTGGCCTGTGGGACTGGGGTCAGGGTTATTCTCTTTACGGGACGGTTCGGCCTGATAGTTTCTGAGTCCACCTCTCACATCAGAAGTGGGGACTCAGGGGTTCCCCTCGGCTGCAGCAGCACCCCAGTTCCGGAATGGCTTCCCCAAGGAGGGAGAGAGGCCCACCTGGAGGCCAGCATATATATATAATAATAATAATTTATTATTTATATCCCACCCATCTGGCTGGGTTTCCCCAGCCACTCTTAGTGGCCTCCAACATTAAAAACAATACAGCATCAGACATTAAAAACTTCCCTAAACAGGGCCGCCTTCTGTTGTCTTTTAAAAGTAAAATAGTTTTTTATTGCCTTGACATCTGCTGGGAGGGCGTTCCACAGGGCGGGATTTTCTGTTCTTTATCACTTACTCTGCATTTCTTAATTATTCTTTTACTCTTAATTATCCTTAACTAATAACTCTCCTCATAGTCTTTCTTGCAATATTTCAAATAGTCCTCCTTACAGAACTTCTTGCAGTCCTGCTAGCGTAATCTGTTCATTACAGTTGCTTTTCAAATAGTTCATGTATTTAGTCTTCTAAGAATCTCTGGTCCCGCAGATTTCGAATCCTTTCGTTAATTTATCCAATTCTGCATAGTCCATTAACTTCATCCACCATTCTTCTTTTGTCGGTAATTCTTCTTGCTTCCATTTTCCCTCTGGGGCTGATTTCAGGTTTCCCGGGTGCTTCTCCCCATAGATCCTGCAGCCTGCATCAACTGCGCCTGGGCTGTATCCTGCGGCCTCCTGCTAACCTCTCCCTTTCTTGGCCCGCAGGTGAAGGAGCTGGGCATGGCTATCTACAACTGCAGCTGCCTGGCCCAGGACTTGGGGAAGATGTTCGAAGCCTACTGGGCTCTGGGTCTGTCCAACGCCACCATCCCGTCGCCCTGGCCGGCCAATTACTCCACCTCCTATAACAAGGAGACGCCGCTGGAGCTGGAGCTGAACGGCACGGAGGCCGGGGTCTACTTCTCGGTGAGATGGGAGGGCGGGGGCCCCCTCTGCTCCAGTCTCTGCTGGCATCCTTGGTGCTCAGATGCCGGGGGCCGACTCGGGGGGGTTCCTTTACGATACGATATGATACGATACGATACCTTTATTGTCATTGTCCCATACAGAACAATGAAATTGAAAAATCTACATAAGACATTCAAAAACCCCTAAAAACTCTGAAACCCTATTTTAAAATACAGTATACTCCTATAGAGACTCCTTATACTACGTTTAAAACCAGAATTGCATTTGGGTAGAAACTGTTTCTCAGGCGGCTAGTCCTAGTCTTTATAACCCTGAAGCTGAAGGCAGAAGCTGAAAGGGATCATTTCCGGGTTGCACACTATCTAATAATAATCATCGTCATCATCATCATCATCATAATCATCATCATAATCATAATAAATTTATTATTTATACCCCGCCCATCTGGCTGGGCTTCCCCAGCCACTCTGGGCGGCTTCCAAAAAAAATTAAAATATTAAAATCCTGGGCTATCTCTGCAGCTTTCTTATGACACCTGGAAGCGTAGATTTGATCCAAGGTGGGAAGAGTGCACCCAATTCTTCTCTCCGCAGTCTTTACAACCCTGGACAGCATTGTTTTTTCCCTGGCCGTGCAGCTCCCAAACCACACACACAGACCATAAGTTAATACACCAGTACAATGGTACAATGGTAAAATGCCATCAACAGGTCCTTTGAGAGCTTGTTTTTCTGGAGGATTCTCAGAAAATATAACCTCTGCTGTGCTCTCTTCATCAGGTCTTTGCTGTTTTCTCCTTTAACTGTTTGGTTCCGTAAAACAATTTTTTATTATTTCTGAGAAACTGACATTTATCGGGTTGCAGCTAAACCTATGGATTCTACCTCCATTTGCTGGCCATTTGTTCCTTACCCAACAGGAAAGTCACAGGGGTGGCAAGTCCCTATGAAATGTGGCTTTATTTGGCGTTCATAACATTTGGTTTGCGCTCTTTCTGTGTCAGGTTTTTGCCGTAGCAAATAATTCAGTCATTGGTCTCTAAAGAACACACTTTCTTTCACAAAGTAACGGCATTGACCCCTGGTAAGGTTTTTCCGGTGCCTTCAACCATTTATTTCATATTTCCTCCTGGATTGTTACTTTAACTCACGGGTAGGCAAACTAAGGCCCGGGGGCCGGATCCGGCCTAATCGCCTTCTCAATCCGGCCCATGAATGGTCCAAGAATCAGCGTGTTTTTACATGAGTAGAATGTGTGCTTTTATTTAAAATGCATCTCTGGGTTATTTGTGGGGCATAGGAATTCGTTCATCCCCCCCCCCAATATAGCCCAGCTCCCCACAAGGTCTAAGGGACAGTGGACCAGCCCCCTGCTGAAAAAGTTTGCTGACCCCTGCGTTTAACTCCATAGCAAAGTCCTGAAGATTCAATAAAAATTTGAAAACCTCATTCTGGAAAAAACCCTGCCTAGGCAGCCCAGAATGTCGACCGTGTGCCTGACTTTTGGGTGCCCGTCCTTCTCCTCCTTTCCTGAGTCTCTTTTCCCTCTGCCTGCCTCCAGAGTGCTCCCCCTGCGTTGTGCGCCACAGGGCGGACAGAGGACCTCCAGTCCCTGGTGAGCATCATTGATGACGCCAATGAGTTTGTTCACATTGAGGTGATGAGCTACCTGCCCACCATGGAGTTCTCGCACCCCAAGAGGTAAGTGTGCAGCTGATGGGGCCGCGGGGCAGCTCTTCTCCCTCCCCTCCCTTGGCTGTGGGAAGGATAAGCTTTACAAACCAAGCAGCACCGGCCAGGAAGCCGTTGCAGAGGCTCCTGCTGATGCAGCAGGGCTTCTCCTTCCACTTGCCTCCCCCAAATTCACTCTGGGAAAGAGCCAGAATATGGGCAGAAAAGAATCGTACAGTTGGGTGGCCAGGGAAAGGGAAAGGGACCCCTGACCATTAGGTCCAGTCGTGGCCGACTCTGGGGTTGCAGCGCTCATCTCGCTTTATTGGCTGAGGGAGCCAGCGTACAGCTTCCGGCTCATGTGGCCAGCATGACTAAGCCGCTTCTGGCGAACCAGAGCAGCGCACGGAAACGCCGTTTACCTTCGCGCCAGAGGCGGTACCTATTTATCTACCTGCACTTTGACGTGCTTTCAAACTGCTAGGTTGGCAGGAGCTGGGAATGAGCAATGGGAGCTCACCCCATCACAGGGATTCGAACCACCGACCTTCTGATCGGCAAGCCCTAGGCTCTGTGGTTTAACCCACAGCACCACCCACGTCCCTTCTGGCACCATAGCACCTCTCAATATCCATCTTATGCTGTCCCCGTTCGAGGGGCGCTAGAGTGGGTGGCGGGCTGCCCCACGTCAGAGGTGGCAATGCAGGATTTGGCCCCGACGCTCTTGCTTCCTTCTTCCCGCTCAGGTTCTGGCCAGTGATTGATGACCACTTGCGGAAGGTGGCTTACGAGAGGAGAGTCCGTGTGCGACTGCTGGTCGGATGCTGGAGGCACTCCAAGGCCAACATGTTCCCCTTCCTGCGCTCCCTGGCTGCCATGCACGACGTCCGCACCCACTACAACATGGAAGTGGTAAGGACACCCCCAATGCCTGGGTCGGGGCTCCCCAGCCCAGGAAGACAGGGCTCCAGGGCAGTCTTAAGCATATCCGGCACCGTGGTGCAAAGATCTCTCTGGCGCCCCCCCATTTCCCAGAGTTGTTGACCTTTTCCCAAGCCTCTTTGGGGATCGCTCTCCTGCGTAGGCTTGGGAAGGAAGCTTCACATCTGCCAGCCATATAGCTGGCGGGGCGCAGCTTCCATCCCAAGCCTCCGCGGGAGGAGATAGATAGATAAAAACTTTATTCGCACTAGCCCAATGGCCATAGCAACAATAAAACATTACAGTATACGCAGAAAGGGAGATTTGATATAAGAGCACAATTAAAAGTCCTGAATCAGCCATCAGTTAGTGGCCCTTATTCTGACTGCCCCTGCTATGAACCTAGCAACCTTTGCTGTTATCTGCTCATTTTGATCTGATAGAAGAAAGGACGTTGTGGCAGTGCTTGAGCGCCCTGAGATGGTTAGTACGAGTGGGGTGATGATCTCGTTCCTCAGGTCTTTGTAGAGAGTGCAAGACAGGAGGACGTGTGCCGCTGTTTCGGTGCTGCCATCTCCACAGGGGCAAAGACGTTTCTCAGGCGGGATCTTTTGGAATCGACCCTCGAGTACCGCAGATGGCAAAACATCCAGTCTTGCAAGTGTGAAAGCACGTCTGTATTTTGGGATAATAAGTTTGTGCAGATATGGGGCCAGAGAATCAAAATGGAGAGGTGGAAAATGAACATACCAATGGCAGAATTTCCTTATAGTGGCCGGGTTGTTCTGATGCTCAATATCGTTGACCAATTAGACTGTTTGCTTTAGTAGGGCCCATAGTGAGTAAGTGTTGTGGGGATAGGCCACAAGAGTGAAGTTTTTGATAGACGGTTTTAAGGCAGGCACCTTTATGGGAGTCTTGAAGCACTAGGGATAGCAAACCGGGGGGGGGGTGAGTTTAGGCAGAGCCAGAAGTTAAGAGTTCTTTGCGTTTGGGACGCATGGCGGTACAGGAAAAAAATCTGCCTTAGAAAATTTAATTGAACAGCTTCCAAAGTGCTAAGGTGGTTACCAGCACAAATCTGAGCCCTGTATTTTGTGTTTTGCTAGGGGTTTAGCTTGGAAGACTTCTAGGGCTGATGGTATATGTTTGCCACCCTTTGTATGGAAAAAGCGAGTCTTGGCACTTTGGGATGCTTTTTCTTTTGCACATTTTTGGTGTGTTCCGCATGACCCCATGGACTGGAAGATAAGGCCCAAAATATTTGAAAGCTTTGACCTGTTCGATTGGCTGATTGTCCATACGCCAACCGTGGGGCCTATATTTTCTTGGGAAAACCATAACTTTGGTTTTCTGATAGTTTACAACCAGGTGTTCTCTCTGGCAATACACTGAGAATTCTCTTATCAGTCTTTTTAGGCCTATTTTTGTGTGGGATAAGAGGACCGCATCATCAGTATATAATAGTACAGTGGTGCTCGCAAGACGAAATTAATCCGTTCCGCGAGTCTCTTCGTCTTGCGGTTTTTTCGTCTTGCGAAGCACGGCTATTAGCGGCTTAGCGGCTATTAACGGCTTAGCGGCTATTAAAGGCTTAGCGGCTTTAAGAAAAAGGAAACAAACTCGCAAGAACTCGCAAGACATTTCGTCTTGCGAAGCAAGCCCATAGGGAAATTTGTCTTGCGGAACGACTCAAAAAACGGAAAACTCTTTCGTCTAGAGAGTTTTTCGTCTTGCGAGGCATTCGTCTTGCGGGGCACCACTGTACAGAGATTGGTTTTGAGGCCAGTTTAGGGACATGGAACTCTGGAGATGTTAGACACTGGACCATGTCGTTTAGGTATAGGTTAAAGAGAGCGATCCTCACAGAGGCTTGGGAGGCAAAGCTGCACGCCCGCCAGCCATATTGTTGATGGGGCACAGCTGGCGGGCGTGCAGGGAAAGGGGAAGCCGCCGGCAAAGCTACGCAGCTCCCCCACTCGCTAGGGCGCCCCTGAGAGGCCAGCGCCCTGGTGTGACGCACCACTAAGCCCAATGGGAAAGACGGCTCTGCCAGGCTCCCTGGAGAGCCATTTCCGCTTGCCTCCCAGCTGCCTCCTCTGCGTGCCAAGCACCCCCACCTCTTCCACACGCACCCCAGTTTTTGTCTTTCTCCCCTTTTGTCTTTCTCGCCAGAGGCTCTTTGTGGTCCCAGCCAATGAGTCGCAGGCCAAGATCCCCTACGCCAGAGTCAACCACAGCAAGTTCATGGTGACGGACAAGGTGGCTTATATTGGTGAGTAGTTTGAGGGGCGGGGGCAGTCGTAAAGGGGAGGCCAGTTGAGGCAGAAAGCTTTGCCTGGGACTAAGGTAAAGGTAAAGGGACCCCTGACCATTAGGTCCAGTCGTGACCGACTCTGGGGTTGCGGCGCTCATCTTGCTTTATTGGCCGAGGGAGCCGGCGTACAGCTTCCGGGTCATGTGGCCAGCATGACTAAGCCGCTTCTGGCGAACCAGCGCCAGTGCACGGAAACGCCATTTACCTTCCCGCCGGAGTGGTACCTATTTATCTACTTGCACTTTGATGTGCTTTTGAACTGCTAGGTTGGCAGGAGCTCACCGCAACGGGGATTCAAAGCTCACCCCGTCGCGGGGATTCAAACTGCTGACCTTCTGATCGGCAAGTCCTAGGCTCTGTGGTTTAAACCCACAGCGCCACCCGCATCCATTAGTTGCCGGGGACTAGCAGGGGCGAAAACTGTCCAGCAATGGGAGAGGGAGAGAAGCAGCCATAAGGGGGAGAACAGAAGAGACTAAGGGGAGTTCATTGGAGGCCCACCTCATCCAGATGCCTTTTGGGGAAACTCGGAAACAGGATCCGAGCCTAATAGCTCTCTCCCCTCCTGTGGTTTCCAGCGGCTGTTGTTCAGGAACACTGCTGCCTCTGACCGGCTAGGAGCCATCAATAACCCTCTCCACCTCCATGAATTGGTCCCATCCTCTTTTAAAGCTATTCACCTTGGTGGCCATCTCTGCCTCCTGTGGCAGGGAGTTCCACAGTTTACTCCGTGCTGCTTGAAGGTGGACTTTTCTGTTATCAGTGCTGAATCTCCCAACCTTCAGCTTCAGGGACTGTCCACAAGTTCTATTGTGAGGAAGAAAAAACGTCTCTCTCGCCACTTCCTCTCTGCCATGCATATATATTTTTTAATCAACCTTTATCACGTCGCCTCTTCCTCGCCTTTTCAGTAAAACTGAAAAGCTCCAAGCGCGGCACCCTTTCCTGCTTCACCCCTTCGATCATTAGGGCAGCCCTTTCCTGAACCTTTCCCAACGCTGTAATATCCATTTTGAGACCAGAATTGTAGATGAGCAGCCGTCAATAGGCTCCTTCTCCACCACAAATTTGCCTAGCCCACCTGGTCCAGCACCCTCTTCTCACGGTGGCGGAACAATTGATTGTGGGAAACCAGCACTCAGGGTTCGAACACAGAGCTCTCCCCCCTTCCTGTGGCTTCCAGCAGCTGGGATTCAGAAGCACGGCTGCCTCCCGCCGCGAACGCCATTGTCATCAAGCTTTGTTGCAGAACGCAGGACTCTTAAGCGTTTATTTTCCCTTCCTTTCCGGCAGGAACATCCAACTGGTCCGGGGACTACTTCCTTCGCACGGCGGGGTCCGCTCTGGTAGTGAACCAGAGCCACGTGGGGGCCGGAGAACAGCTCACGGTTCGCGATCAGCTGCAGGCGGTGTTTGAGCGGGACTGGAACTCCAGATACAGCCAGGAGCTGAGCTTGCCGGGCCAGTGGGAGCAGTTGTGCGGCACCTACTAGCCAAAGGGACACCCCCTCTGGCCCGTCCCCAGCTGGAGAGGGGCTGCGAGCACCAGCCCCCTGTCGGAGGTCGGTGGAGGGGCTTCCCCAGAGGCAGGGGGTCTCCCTGGGGAACTTTGCGGGACCCCCTGCTCTCCAGCCGAGTGGAACCAGGGGGGTACCCAAGGCCTTCCTTGGGGGCAAATGTCTGGGGTAAGAGAAACTCCTGCAAGGGAAACAATTCAGCCTGACCGAAGGATTGGGGGTGGGTGGGGGGTTTGCCATGCGCAAACGACCAAGTGACGTGTGCAAAGGGAGCTTTTGGCGCATGCAAATTGTGGGTAAAAAGTCACTGTTCCGAACTGGGAAGCAAAAGGGTTTTGCGTGGGTGGAGGATAGGTGTAGAGAAAGAGGGCGTTAGGCAGTTAGGGGGAAAGGGGACGTGGGTTTAAGGAGACGAAAATGGAAAAGGCTTTCCTGGCCAAAAGGATCCCTCGCGGAGGAATCTCCTCCTCCTGTTCAGCAGAAGTGTGAAGTATCGCGAGAGAGGAGGTGTTGCAGACGATGTGCCGCTCAGAAGCTCCCAAGTCGGGGTGGACCTGTCTGAACCTGTGGAGAGCCTCTGCCAGTCCGTGTAGGCTGTGCTAAGCTAGATGGGCCAAGCAGTCTGACTTGGCGGCTCCCTGTTCTGCTTGTTTCTCTGCCATAAATGCCTTTCAGAGAGGACCACACACCACCAAGCAACTAACCAGCTTCTGTCGCTGCCGAAATTGCCACTGTCCTTCCTTGACCAGTGGCTCTTAGGCACTCAGCACTCAAAGAGTGCTGGCAATGAAGAACCGTAGACTCATAGCGGTGAAGGGATACCCAAAGGTCCACTAGACCAACCCCCAGCTGCAATACAGGAATCCCAGCTGAAGCATCCCTGGCAGGGATCCATTCCAACCTCTGCTTAGAAACCTCCGAGGGAGGAGATTCTACCCCCTTCCGAGGGAGAACTCCTCCACTGTCACACAACTCTTTGCCGGTCAGAAAATTCCTCCTGGTGTTTAGTCAGAATAATAATAAATAATAAATAATAAATATATAATAATAGTAATAATAAAAAATTTTTATATCCTGCCCTCAACCCAGCCAAGCCGGGCTCAGAGCGTCTAAACACAGTAAAAATAGCACATTTACATAAATCACAGTCAATTAATTGAAATTCATCTCTAAAATCAGTTCAGAATCAATTAATTGGCAAACCATTGGGCTAGAGTTCTATGAGGATTACAGAAGGAGAGAGGGGGTCAGACTGCGCCTGACCAAAGGCCTGTGGAACAGCTCCGTCTTGCAGGCCCTGCGGAAAGATGTCAAGTCCCGCAGGGCCCTAGTCTCTTGTGAAAGAGCGTTCCACCAGATTGGGGCCACGGCTGAAAAAGCCCTGGCTCTGGTTGTGGCCAGCCTAACCTCCCTGTGGCCTGGTACCTCCAAGATGTTTTTATTTGAAGACCGTAAGGTCCTCCGCGGGGCATACCAGGAGAGGCCGTCCCGTAGGTACGAGGGTCCTAGGCTGTATAGGGCTTTAAAGGTTAAAACCAGCACCTTAAACCTGATCCTGTACTCCACCGGGAGCCAGTGCAGCTGGTATAGCACCGGGTGAATGTGATCCTGCGGCGACGACCCCGTAAGGAGCCTCGCCACGGCATTCTGCACCCGCTGGAGTTCCTGGGTCAATCTCCCTTCTTGTAACTTGAAGCTATGAGTTCGAGTTCTACCCTCCAGAAAAAAACGGCCTGCTCCATCTCCTATGGCAGCCCATTTTAATCCATCTGGGTCAGCAAAGAGCAGTAAAGAAGAGCAGCAGCTACCTCTGTCCTCTCGAACCAAGATGTGTCTTCCTTTGTCATCCA